CCGGCCAAGCCCCAGGTGCTCAGCCACGTCCACTACCACCACCACCAGCACCATCACTACAGAAGAGATGGGGAGGGTCCACCCGGGCGGGCCGGGCAGGGGCCTGGGCAGCGCAAATCCCGGTACTCTGGGGCCAAGGTTGGCTTCCACAGTGCTCGGACACAAAAGAGGGCTGAGAAAAGCCCTCAGCAGCCTCTGGAAAGCAGTGCTGTGGGCAGCTCTGGCAGGACAGCCAGCCTGTCCTCAGCAAGGCCGGGAGCCCCCTCATGCCCCCTCCGCTTCTCCAAAGAGATTGGACTTCAGTGTAGATGCCAACAGACCATCAGGAGCAGCTGGTACATCCACTGTCCCGCTGCCCCCAAGACACAGCTTACAGAGCCGTCATCACCGAAGGAAAAGAAAGTGTCCCCTGGAGCCTGAACCTGGTCTCCTGCCCGAGGACTCAGCCTTGCCCAAAGCCTGCGATGCTCACATTCCTCACGGCCATCCCGCTGGCTACCGCTGCTCACCTGAAGTCCAGCCCCTGATCCCAAGCGCTCTCCTGCCCTGCGGCTTGGGCTCTCGGCCACTCTGGAAGTGTTTAGTGCCACAGTCCGGCTCAGAGCTGAAAAAGCAGGAGGAGGGGTTGTCAGGACGGGAGGGAAACTGAACGGTTACTGCTGATTTCTCAGGGAAGGGCACCCCCAGACACAGTCTGAGTCTTCACCTTCACAGCCCGTCTCAGCAGGGTAGTCAGGGTAAGTCGGGTGTTTGCCTCTTCTTGCAGCAAGCAGGTGAATGAGGGTGGTTTGCTGAAGGTGCTCTGGCTGCCAGTAGACCTGGTACCTTCATGGTGGGCTTTCCTACAGGACCACTGACAACAGAAGTGTTTCAGAGCTCACCTGTCTGGAGATGATGGCCTGAATGATTAGCAAGTCTGTTAATGAGTGCACCAAACCCTGCAGTCTCGTCCTAAAACAATACAAATGAGAAACAAGGTGGCTATTTCTAACTAAACATCTCTAGCAGCTGGAATATGTCCCAAAGGAAGAGGTGGGACCACGTTTCTCAGTGCCTTTACATCAGTCTGGATGTCTTACAGGCAGAGTCATTATTGTTAAGGCTTATTGGGCCCTAGTTGTTTTAGCTAACCCCAGCTAAGTGGAATCAATACGGAAGGAAGTATACCTGGCTGGTGGCAGTAGGAGAACAGATTAAATGAGTTTATGGATTTGCACATCCCTCATTTCTCACCTGCCTCTGTTGTGTGGGAGTTGCTTTTTAGTGTCTTTTGGAAACCAGATGTAATTAAAGTTTGGCCTTTTGCCTAACTGCTGTACATCTCTTGCTGAGAGAGGGAAAATGCATTTGAGATGAGGCTGTTTGAAAGAACATAACTGAGTTTAGCTCCCAGGTCTTGCGCTCTCAGACGCCTCTGAATACAACAACTTGTGAGTCAGCATGGGCAGGTGCTGGCTCCGAGCAGAGCCTGGCTCCCTTCCTCACCCTGCCACTGACTCACTGCAGGTCCTCGGGCAAATCATTTTGATTTAGGTACCCAATACAGATCTAGCTGCCTAATTTCTGTTAAAATGCTGGCCTTAAACTCGTGACTCACTGTGCTCCTTGTGCTGCTGAGATAATAACTTCCTCCCCGTGCTCGTCTATCCAGCCCTATTCCACACCCAGGCTCCTGGTGGTGGAGAGCCTACTGAGGAGGCAGCAGGAAAGGGGGAGAGGCTGGATGGGGCACAGTGCTGGCTGCCTGTGGCACTCCAGGCTCCCAGACTCCCAGGAACAGATTTTTTTTTTTTTTTTTTTTTTTCCTCCCAGGCACAGAAGTGCCTGACACTGCAGATGGGTGATATGGGAGGTTCTTCAAAGGGCCCAGAGGGATGCTGCCATTTTGAGAGATCAGGAGGCAGCAGTGCAGAGATGTCTCTCTGGTTTGCAGGCAGCTCTGAGAGGCAAACTCTCCCCTGAGCTGGAGGCAGTGGACAGCAATACTGCCAGGGCACAGCCCTCCCAGGATCACAGCAGGGGACCTCCACATGGAGAGAGTACTGCTGGTGTGAGGGCAGGCTGCTCAGGAGTTGCTTTGAGCTCCCATTTCAAAATGAAACTGGAAGGACTCCCCAAGCCACCAGAGCAGGAGTCTGTGCACCTAACATGGGGTGCTGGGTGCTGCAGTGTCCAGGGCATTGCAAGCATTTGTGCTGTGATGCCTCTATCTCTTTGTAGATGGTACCAGCAGCCCAGATGTGTGCCCACCTCCTGATGGCGAAGGCTCTCTGACACCCACCCAGAGCCAGTGCCAGAGTGCTTTGCCAAGCACACATAGCCTTCATTCCCTCCTACCTCCCTCTACCAGGAGCTAGTAGGACCAATGTGTTTGAAAGCAGCGTGACTCGATGTCTATTTGACTGCAGTAGCTTCTGTGGATGCTTTTAGGACCAGCCAGAGAGTCAGAATCTCCTTGTAAGATTGAGAAGATACATAGAAAGGAAGGATTTAACTTTATTAGGAACTGAGAACAGTTGAAGAGGGCAGGAGCTCATGCAGGGCTTATGCAGAAAAGCCACCAGGCTGAAAACACATTGGTTGACATAACACAGCCTCTGAGTTATAATCACATTGGTTCTTTATCTTAGAAAGGGACTGGACATAGATTAATAGAGAACAAGTAAAAAGAGCAAAGAACAATATCAGTAGACAGTCCCATATAAGCAGGACACAAAAAATAGACAAGGAGACCAAGGAGAAATGCATATATGCGTCTAGATAAATGTTGTAAGGCTAAAAATATAAATGGATGAATTACAGAAAGCCTGGCTTTAAATTAAAGTTTTGACATAAACTTTTCAGAAACCCAGTTTAAAAAAAAACCCACAAACAGTGGGACCCTGTAATTCTCAGGTGAAATTACAGAGAGGAGAAGAGTGTGTCTCTTCTGGTGGCATGGGAGGGGCACTATGCATTAAGAAGAGTGTAAAGTCCAATGACAAGTAACACAAAAATCCCCAATTGTGCCTAAGTAGGAGTATGGTGTTAGGGTTATAATACATTGCATTAGCAAAAAAGGACGCTATGTATACATGAGAATCTTCTTCAAATAATACTAAAAGAAGCAGTCAAAAGAATAAGATGCTTTTGGGCACAGGGATCATTTAAAGCCCCAGAAAAGGGCTGGCCAAGCAGCTGAGCAGAGAGGGCAATTAGAAGCAAGAAGCCATTCTTCCAAAGCAAAGGTGTGGCTAGACAAAGAAATCAGAGAAGAGCTGGATGCAAAGTGAAGTGCAGAGCCATGGTGAGGCAGGCCAGGAAAGATTTCTATGAACAACCTGTGAAAAAGAGAGAGACTATCAATGCAAATGTTTTCAACTCCATCAGAAGGAAGAAGGCTGCCAGAGGCTCTGCAGGTCCAGGGAGTAACACAGGTCTAAGAGGGATGTTCAAGGGCTGTAACTGCATAGCAGAAAAGCAAACTGAATTTATTGCATTAGTGATCAGCGTGGAAGTGCTTGAGGACGTTCTCACCCTGGCATATCTCCATTCAGGGCATGGAGTAGAGGATCCCTCATAAATCAAATCATCAGTTTGAGCGTTTCTGAAATGCATCAATAAAGTGGATAGTAACAAACGGCCAGGGCTACAGATCACTCACCTGGGCATCATGCAGGGGCTCAAGCACAAAACTGCTAAATCTCAAATGTGGACAGCAATCTGTTACCCATGCCCAGAGCCAGAAGGAAGAGCTGAGGGCAATATCAGCTTGAAATAGCTGAAGCCACAGAATGATGAGCCTGACTTTCCTGCCAAGCAAATCGTTAAAAATTCAAATACAGGGTCTGACTTGTAGGCACACAGCTAAATGTGAAAACCAGGGGAGGAGGCAACACAACTTTTGTAGAGAGATAATGCCTCGCAGATCTTTTAGGGGAATGAAGCTCTCAAAAGGATAAAAGGGAATGTGCTCTCATAGGTAACTTGCTAAAAAATAGGAGACAAAGTACAGATCAGTCTTAATGGAGGAAAGTTACTTGGAGAAGGAGCAAAGTGGAGTTCTCCAACTGTCTGCACCTTTCAGCAAGCTCATAAATATCCTGGACAAGGAGAGGAGATAGTAAAGTTTATGAAAGACAAAATCCTTCAGGATTGTCAGATTTAAAACTGGTTACAAAGTGTTACAGAAGGATTTCCCATTGCTGAGTTATCGGGCAATAGAGTGGTGAATGAAATCCCATGTAAGTAGCACAAAATGCCACACATGAGCAGAACTGCTTCTAAGTAAAAATCAAATTATTATTAGGAGCTAGCTGGGAACAAATGCGGGGCAAGCAGAAAATGCCACAATGCAGCTGCATAAGTCTGTGGTGCTTTAACAGCTAGCATTCGCCACTGATCACTGCTTCTCAAAAAAGGATATAGCAGACTTGGGAGAAGTGCAGAAAGGTATTGAGTACAATCACAACAATGAGGTTTTTCTGAGAAAACAAAGAATATAGAGACTTTCATGTGGGGAAAAAGGTAATTAGCAGAGGATATGAAAGAGAGGATATGAAATCAGGAGAGCAGGGGAGAAGGCAGAGAAGAGAGACTCACTGGTGCTTATAACAAAATAAGTGGTGGCATCAAATGGGAACTAGAACCTTTAAAACACCCAATAAGGTAGCACACGCTGTGTAGTGAAACTGGTGCTCATTGCCCAGAGGATGTAGGTGCCAGAAGTAAAATGGGTTCGAGAGCCTAGATCAAGAACTATCAAATGCAGAGATGCAAATATGCTCTCTGGCTCAGGAAGTCCCTAAACCAGGGTTTCCAGAAGCTGACGGTGCTCCTGTGGGATACAGCACCCTCCAGGTGTGTGCTTACCTCACCCAGCTGCAAGGTGAGCCTGAATCTTGGTCCACAGCCCCTGGAGAAACACCATTGGTGCAGGCAGTGCCATGCACTGGCATCATAGGGAATAACGCTGCCCGCAGCCATCGCTAGGGTGCCGCAGATGATCCCAAAGATGCTTTCATGATCTTGGAGTTTATGCTGCTTCCTTGAGCACCTCCACCAGCTTTTCTTAGTGGGGTTTGCATAAAGATACATCCCTACCTCTCTTGCCTGGGAGACTATACCCAGGAGTTGTTTCACTGAAGAATCAATCCTCAAGCAATGCTGAATGGATCCTTTTAAGAGAAGTCAGACAACTAGCAGTGAATTACAGCTAGGCGGCTTCCTAAACCACCCCAGCACACATGGATCTTGTCCCAGAACAGCCAGATTACTCCCAGCACAGGCTGATGAAATCTCTTGATTTCTCTCTCTGGGAAATCTCACCTTCTGCAGCATGCTGTCAGCATCCTCCCCCTCTTCTCTATCTCCTGCTCATCCTCTTAGCCATTCCCTTTCATGTCATGTCTTTGATCTTTACTAGAGAGCAGGAAAAGGATTAGAGGGCAGAAAAAGACCACCATTAAAACCTAATACCCAAAGAACAAGATTTCTGTTGCATCGCCAAGGTGTGCTCCTTCAGGTCATTGCCCCATGTGGGTCTGAATGGCCATTCCAACAGCCGAGGCTCCACCACTTCTCCCAATTCAAGACCTTTTTTTGACCTTCCTTTCTGTATAACAGGGGACACTTACACAGGCACAGTTTTCAGAAAATATTTTAACAATGCTATTTGAGACTCAGGGCATCTGACTGATCACGGAGTGATTGAAGCTGTACGGTCTCTTTTGCGCGACACATAAGCTGGTGTGCATGAGAAGCAGTTGGCAATGGCTTATTCAATGTACTGGTGACACAAATCACAAACACCAGATATGCTCAAACTCTGTCTTCTGTTACTTTGGCCATGCCTGCACATATATGTATATGCACAACACTGTGTCTGTGCATTAATTTTCCCACGTTGATTAGCTACATTTTCAAAGCAGAATCTCATTTGTTTGTTTTCTTCCCATATATTTAATTTTCAAAGCTCCTGTTCCTACAGCTGGTGATATGTAACAAATAAGAATTTGCTGTGACTGTTTTGAAAAGTTGTTTTGAATTGCTCTCTATGAATACCTATATGGGCATTTGTTTCCTTTTGATGTCAGGAACATTCAGGAAAAGGGAAGTGTGAAAAATGATGCATGTATACCTTTATTGGGCTATGCTGACCCTGCATGAGAGCTCTGGGCAGACTTGAGAGACATCTGGGAAAGGGACCGTGGTGTGTGTGTCAACACTCAGTCAGTTAGAGAGAAAGAGACTATCTGAAGCAGTAACTCAGGGTGCACCATTTCTAGGCAGCCCTTATGTTGAATGTTTCAAAGTAAACTACTCAGCACTTGCCTGTCAGTAATTCACCAGGTGGAAGGGGCTGGTGAAGAGCATGAACTACAGTCCTTGCTGGCTGGGCATGAGGTATTGGTATTTCTGGCCAACCACCACTTGTTGGGTTTGGCTTGTTTGGGACTCAGAAGCAATTTATGCAGCCTCTTGAACACCATGAAATGCATGTGCCATCCCTTTCTTGCACACACACACATCACTTGCAGTCTGCTTTTGTTGTCTGGGGTTTCTGTTGTTGCCCCCTGTCCCTGAAAGGTACTGCTGTGGCACTGTGTGAATATGAATCAGTGTTATTTTCTGTTGCTAATAATTTTTAAACTGGTTGTACAGATTTTCCTCAAAGAGCAAACATCAAAAAGCCTCAAAAGCAAATATCCAGTAGTGATGTGAATCCTGGGGTGCACCATGCCCTTAGCCTGTATCTTCTGAAATGTTTAAAGAGTAGCTTGATGTCTTATCTTTACATTTTATTGTGCTTTAACTTAGAGGAATAAACTGTCTGGGGAGGTGGCCCAGTGCCAGTATTTGGCACCCTCCAAAATACTGGGAGAAACTTAGTGGCTTTCACTGCAGCATCTGTTCTCTGTATTGCAGGGTCAAGACCCCAGCAGCTGCAAAGTCCAGGAATGTTCAGCTAGTTGTAGCTGACACTTTTTCCTTTTCTTTGAATGCAGGATCTGAAGAGGAGGTACAGGATGTCCATGAACACTCAGTTTAAAAAAACACTGGTCTGTTTGCTTACTGGAGAGCTGGAGTGGACAAAGATGTTCAGCGTACCAGCCGTAGAGGAGCTCACATATTGCTCTCTGCACAGGCAACATGTAATAACCACCCCTGACCTGCATGGCCCACACCAAGATGCAGACTGCAAATAAGCAATAGGACACTTGTGGTCTCCTCATATATTCCTGTGTTGTGATGGTCACACAAACACAGAGCCATGTTCTCCAGGTCCCCTTCTCCTTTGAAGGCACAGGCAGCCCATCTTCATCCTGTGGCATCTATCTGTGTGGGCTGGCTCGCTCAGAGACCAGTCTTGGGAGTCACCAGCTGGAGAGCTCGTGGAGTGAGTGCAAGCTGCTATTTCAGCATGTTCATGCCACAGAAGGTTTTGCTAAACACTTCAAAAATAAACAAGCCTTCGAGACCAAAAGCTGCAGAAATTACTTTCTGTGGCCTGGTAGCTCCTAACTACATTTCCTCACTTAGGTCAAAAGCCAGACTTCTTCATTTAACTTTTCCACTCTTATTTCAGACACAGGAACAAGCTATTCTCCATCTCAGCACTCACAGGTCTGCCCTGCAAGGTGCTTCTTCTGACTTCATTGGAAATCAACAGCTCTCACCACTTTTGATCACTTCGTTGTCCCTCATCTGATGCCATCTTGGCCATTTGCTGCATTTTGCCAGCAGCAGGAGAGGTGAAGACACAGGGACATATGAGCATTTCTGGGAAGGAGCTGGGTCAGACTCTTTCCATTGCAAAAAATCCACCCTCTCATCTGGCAATGTGAACAAGTCTCTCACTCATCCTCTAACTCCTCCACCTACCCTCAAAATAGGTGTGATGGCTAGCTCTGTTAAGAGCAACTAATTTGTTGAGCATATTTCAAACCTGAGGTGCCTTCCGTCACAGGAGTCATGGAAAACCTTTGAGCTCACGTGGCTCCTGCTTCTCTCCTTCCTCCCTCATTGACCAAAGACACAGCAAAAATTCCCACCAAAAGTATCCATAATAAATGCAGAGCAGAGCCCCATCCATCACCCAGCCTTATCTTCATATTCCTGAGACACCTCAAATGATCCTGCAAAGGAATTTTTCAAAATACCCTTCTGCCTTTTCTAACATTTTGATGTTGGAGAAAAAATTGAGAAATTGTTACGCTCTCGGTTTATTACCTTTTTTTTTTTTGCTCCCATTTGTGCTTTTTTTTTTTTTTGGAATGTCACTAGTTCTTATTTCCTACATATCATAATTTGGGGACATTCAAGTAGAATAAAACCTGCCAAGTTCAAAACATACAGAACCCAAACAGTTTTCATACAGCAGGGAATTAGACTGTTGAGTTCATTGCCCTAAATGATCATTCAGGCCAAAGAACTAGCCAGATTCCCATGTGAAGTGCGCATTCATATGGCACCAAGTGTTTCCAGAGTTAATGATAATGAAGCACTGGTGAGGATACAACACTGGAGCTGAAGGTAACTCCTGACAATTTGAAACCCGGTGTAGGGACAGAATTCTTCCATCTGCTCAGTGCTTGATAAGCTTTCTGTGTCTTCCTTTGAAGCAGCAGCTGCTTCTCCAGTTCAAGAGAGTGCACTGGTTATGTAGTCCCAGTTCAGGATAATTCTGCCTCTGCCTTCCTTCATTGGTGAGGAAAGTTTTTACAGGGTTTGTTGCCCTTAATCTTTGAAAAAGGCATCTTTGTCCCAGCTGCTAATCAATCACTGACATTCAAGTGATGGTACTAAAAGTCAGCCAATAGCACTATTTTAAACAACACATTATTCCCTTGCTAGTGTTCATTTCTTGTCTCCAGTGACTGAGCCACTGCAGGACCTTTCAGTCTAGAGAAGAGCTGAATTTCTTTCATCAAAGAACCCAACAGAATTACATTTTAACCTTTCTGGGCTCTTCTTGCTTGTTGTACAGAGCAAGCAGAAGACACAAACTCAGATGTTTTCTCCCTTGCGGGGAAGTCAGTCTTAAACTAGAGGAAAAAAAGCCAAGAGTGGGTCTAGATTCCCCCTGTTCAACGTCTTGTGCACGTGGTCCATGGTTTGTCTCAACTAGCTCCCTATGTCCTTGAGCATCCTGGAGGGCTCAGATGACTTTACAGAGGGGAGAGTCATGAAATCCAGGTGCTCCCACTGGTTTCTTTAGGAGTCAAGAAGGCTGAGAGCCTCCAGGAATGCATTTCACTGCCTCAAAGGAACGAGCATCTAGTTTGCAGTCTAAAATTCCTCCTCGCTTTCCCTCCTTATCCTTGGAAAAAAGGAGAGCTCTGAATCTGTGGCAAGTCCCAAGCTTCTTGGAGAAAGTGGTCAGCACTAGCGCACCCTTTCCACTCCCTACTGCAGTATTACCAGGCTGTGCAGGGCAATGCCTGCTTTAAAGTGTTTTCCTTTTCTGACGTTATGCTGCTGCTCCTTTTCATGTAAAAAATGGCCATCCTAGATGCTGGGCCCCATTCCTGGGGCTTGCTGAGCTGAATGAAAGTGTGCGGGTCTGCCTCCATGGGTTCTCAGGTGGGAGGAGAGGGAGGAACTCTCTGGGAAGGTGGTTTTTAAGATCTTCTTCATTAGATGGACTACCATCCTTGGCTGCCTGGAAGGGAAGCAACATCTGAGAAAATGGGGAACGGCTCCTCTCAGTTCCTGCACCTTTTGCTTCTGGGTGATGCTTTTGAGTGCTCAGTACCTTTGGGCCCCATCACTGAACTTCTTCAGCATCACTGCAACGAAGCAGAGCTCATCTTCCTTTGTTGCATCAAAAGTCCCAGATGAAAACTGATGGAAGCCCCAACTCCCTCTGTCTGAAATGGAAGCCGAAGCCCTTCCCCAGCGACTGCCGTCTTCCCTGAGATGGGTACCATGTGCCGGGCTGGCTGGACCTCCTCCCTTCCTGCACACAGCCTCTGCTCTCCCTTTTATAATGTTCAGATCCTTTTGAAATGTGAATATCGGTTTTTTTGTTGTTGGTTTTTGTTTTGGTTTGGTTTGGTTTTTTTGCCGAGTCTGTCCCAGCTCTCGGAGCTTGGGAATAAATTATGACCCAAAAAAAAGGAAGAATACGTTTTATATATATGCAAAACTTGTGTATTTATGTCGATAGAAACAAAGATGTGTGAATATGCTGATGTGCTCAGAAATATATTTATTTACTAATATATTTATCCATGTACTCGGTCTGTTCGCCTGGTTTTGTT